TTTCAATATTTTATGGGTTGGGTACTATCCCTCTATTATATTACATTTCATTACATTAATTTTTTCTCACTCCTCATATCAACCATACATTCATCAAATAAAATAATATTACACACAAATCAAAAACTTTTCAACCACACATCTCCCATCAATCACTATTCTAAAAATTATCTACCCCCCAAAAATTTAAATTAATGGGGGGCAAACAGGGGCTAAGACTATTTTTTATTAGGTAGTATATTTGTATTATTACTCTAATTACATTTCTTATTTACTATATATGAATCAACATTGAGTCTTGACTTATGCTAGTAAAAGTTGTGGAGAAGAATGAAAATTGACCTATGCTAGTAAGAGTCTTGACCTATGTTGATAATATTGTTTGTTAAATTCGAATTTTGCATTTGAAAGTTGAGATATTATTTGCATTTTCATTTGAGATATTGTTTGCTAAAATTGGCTTAGTATTGTGTTTTTGTTTTCGTTGATTTTTCTTCATAATTTTTTTTTTCAATTTGACGGTTGGAGTTTGGACTTATAAAAAAATATTATTTGCATTTTCATTTGAGATATTGTGTGCTAAATTTGCTTAGTATTGTATTTTTGTTTTTATTGTCTTTTCTTCATAACTTTTTTTTTTTTCAATTTGACGGTTGGATTTTAGACTTATAAAAAATAATTTATTTTCGTGGTTATTAACCGAACCGACTTACGTGGTTATCGTGCGGTTATGGTGTGATAAAAAATTTGATGGTGCGGTTATGGTTTTGGCCGAACCGACCCCGAACCAAACCGCTGACATCCCTACTAAGCACCATTTCCATGGAAACTACACGCACGCACACGCATATAATTGTTTTCATAATTCTTAATTAATTTTTTCCCAACGAATCCAACATGGACGGCTCGTCGGGTGCTGGATCAGCCACTGCATCTTTGGACATTAATTGCAGTCTCCAAACAAAGTAGAAAGTAAAAATTTTAAAACTTTTTCACTTCTACTCATGTCATTCATTTCTCGTATATTTTACCTGTTTTGCATCATGATCGCAATAACAACAGATGATTCTCATCATAGCCAAAACTCGAGTAAATTTCATTCACCTACTTCATATCCTAAGAGCATGTTTGGCACCCTAAAATGGATGGGACTTTAAAAAATTAAATTAGAAAGAGAAGACAATTTACCATTGTCCTCTCACTTCGTACCACGTTAAAAATGGTTAGACTATAAAGTTGATGATTAGGGTAAAAGACAACACGTTATAGCATCGTCGTCTCATTAGAGGGCATAGATTGTCCTTCATGCTCTTCACAGGGACTACCGAACTTTTCATTTTCCACTCTGGATTCAAATAAGATAAATATTCTGACGTCGAGGGAAGCACACACGAGGGAGAAATTCACACACAAATTGCAGAAAAAAATGATAAGGCATACACAGAAATAGTGCAAAATCTTCTCTTTATCTTTTATTCTTCTCCAGGTTTTTCCTTTTTCATTTTTTAATGTATTCCTTCTTTCCCTCTACCTCTGATATACAATTTCTCTTATTGTTCTATACAAACTATGATATGCATGGGAGATGGTGTATCCCTGAGCCAGATGCAACAGCAACCTATAAATCAATATATATCTTGCACCTCCCACTGAAAAATCTAGTATAGCTGGCATATATTATGGCGTGCTTGGAAGATGGCATGAATATCTCAACCTCCGATGTGATGCGAGAGCATTTTGTAAAGCAACATCCACTCTTCCACTACCCTGAAACAGTGAATCGTACAAGGCACACACGAACTGTGATAGTTCCTTCTCGTCATCGTCCCAAAAGGGCATGGAACGTTCTCCATTTTTCTCGGGTTCACTATCTTCCCAATCACTGGTTGGACTGGCAGGGTCTGTCTCTTCATCTTCTGCTTCCTCCTCCCCAATCTCAAATTTACCATTCTCAAAAGTACTAAACTCACCTGAACCATATAATAACGCCAACTGTGTCTCTTCCGGCTCAGAAGAAGGGCATACAACAGCTTTGGCACCAGAATCTAGAAACGCTTTTGTTAAAGCTCTGATAGGCCCATATATTCCCGTGAAGATTATAATTCTGTCCTTCCAAGCTCCGATCTGGGAGGTTCAA